ATGGTGCAGGAAGTCATGCGGGGGTTCAGTTCCAAACCTCCCAGAATCACTTGTTTTCTGACTTTTCCAAATAAATTTGACAGTTCGGTAATTCTTTAGTGGCTGTAATCTGCCCATCTGTGGGATATTTAATTTCAATGATCTTAAGTATTTTATTTCATTGGGTTCCTTTTCAAATGTATCTGATTATACTCTTCACCTTGTCTTTCTGTTCCATTCTGTATTTCCTTAAACATTTCAAACTTAGGGCCCCCTGGTGGCATAAGGGATTAAAGTACAGCACTATCCACAGATACTGCAGCGATCCCCGGCCAGGGAGCTGACCCACATGGAGCAGCAGACCTCTCTGGTCTCGCCTGCTGCTCCCCTCAGCAGTGTATTTCAGTCAATCTGCTTGTTCTGTTCCCTACTCTCTAACCCTCTCACTCTCTGCACTGCTGGCCTGTACTCCAGTCCTGGTATGCATGAATAAACAAATCTTTTTAAAAATTCCTACGTAGTTATGCTGACTCTGATAATTCTAACATGATCTTAAGTCTTTTTCTAAAAATTGGGCTGTGAACAGAACCCAAGCTTAACCTCCTGACTGGTTCTACTATTTGCTCTGGGGCTACCCCAACTTCTATGCCCACAGCTCTCTGCTCCTTAATGCATTTCTTCTTGCTGTCCTTTTTCTTCTCATTTCTGGAATGCCTTTGGAGCCCAGAAATGCATGTTTGTTTATTTACCCAGGCTCTAGAAAGGTCTTTCAAAATGACTGAATAGGAGGTGGAAGTCTACTCACCCATTCTCTCAATGCTTCACCCATCTTCATGAGGCCTCGACTTTTGCAGAGACTGAGCTTGGGTATTGGGACACAAAGTAGTGAAAAAGACACCTCTGCACGCTCTCAGAACTTACAGATTAGTGAGGGAAAACAGGTTGGAATAGAGGGTGACCAATGGCACCACACAGCAAGTAGAAGGCTGTAGAAATTCAGTGAAGCAACTTGCTGGATATACAGGAAGGCAACTTTGAGAGTGATGAAAAACTGTTTCTAACAGCTGAGCAGTGGGGAGAGTAGATACTGATGAGCCAAGATGGGAAAGGGGTAAGGTGAAGTGGAGGCTGCACCAGCAAAAGCAGAAACAAGAGAATTAGAAAGTAAAAAGAATCAGGTTAGGTTTGGATAGAGGGAGATGGAGGGCCAGATAAAATGCTGGAGATGTGTGTGTGAGACTGAGTTCTAGAAAAACTAGATGGGGTAGTCATAAAATGGGAGGGGAGATGTTGGCATGATGCCTACCTGACCTTATTTGGCGTCTGGCGAAAGTCTACCTGGTGCATGTGAAAATGCATGTGTCTGAGGGAAAATCCTTGGAAACCAGGGCTGTGAGCCAAGGACATGGACAGATATCATGCGGGCACAGCCCAGCATTTTAGTAAAGTGCCAATTAAGGAAAGAAATCCATGTGTGTGTGTGTGAGTGTGTGTGTGTAAGCTGCTGAGTACTGTTTTGAGGAGGAGGTCCTGAGGAAAAAATGTATACAGAGCTTAATTAAAAATCTATGCTTTTATGTGGTACATATACACAATGGAGTATTACTCAGCAATCAAAAAAGAAACACATGCCTTTTGCAACAACACAGATGGAGCTGGAAGGGATCATGCTTAGTGAAATATGCCAGAAAGAAAAGGAAAAAACTGGATGGTTTCACTCATAGCATGAGTATAAAGGACCAGGGGAGAAAATAATAATAATAATAATAATAAACAACTATATACCAGACATTTTACGGGGGTGGAGTGGGGAATGAGATCAATAATGGGGGTGTACTATGGTCATGGCACATGGGTGAATTGGTGGTGGGAAGCCCACTGGGATAACTGAGATGGAAAAAGGCACAAAATTATGTAAAAATAAAGTATTACATTTTTTTTTTTTTAAGTTTTAAAAAATATGCTTTTGCTGGAGCTTGGGAACAAGGGGTATAAAATGGGATGCTTAAAAATAAAGTTTCACTGCATGCTGAACATAGCAGTCCCCCGTGTCTGATTTCCTTCATCTCCGCATCCCGGGTCTCGGACTCACTAGAAATCCACAGGGAGAGATATATCTCAGTTTTAGATCATATGGCTGCACTGTGCTCCAGGAATAGGCAGAGGCCAAATGGAAGATGGAGATGTTAGATCTAAGTGATTGCAGCAGCTTAGACAGGGCAAGAGGCCTGCAGAAAGGCCCTGTGGGCGCACAGCTAGCCGGCACCTCAGGCTCACCTGCTAAGGCTGCGCTTCCATGGTCTTCGGTCTCAGGTGGGACACATCTCACCTAACCCTCTCCTGACCTCTCTTGTCTGCCCCAGGGGTGGGCAGGCTGCTTACCTGTTCCAACATGAGCGGTACAAACTGGCTCTTCTTGCAAACAAAACCCTGAAGTGCTTTCAAAGGCCTAGCTGATCGAACAGTAGGACAAGTTGCAAAGTCCCACCACAGGAAATAAAAAGAATGCTCTAGCAACTGCCAGCATTTTCCCACAAGGATTCCAGCCAGCTGTCACTCATGCTGCTTGGCATAAAAACTGAAAGGCGTAAGAATAGCAGCAGTTTCTTCAGTGCCAGGCACTGTGCTTAACACTAATCTTTAATTTTTTGGATAGACCGAGACAGCCATCATCACAGGAACTTCTTTATCACAGATGTCAAGTAACTTATCTGAAAGTTAGTCTGACGCTGGGGCACAGGAATTTTCACCCATAGCCCTCAAAAGTCTGAGCTCCGAAGCCTGCTTTAGAAAGCACACAGTAGGAAACCATCATCTTAAGAGCAATTTCTGTTTTGTAATTTTGTAACCTACTAAGGTTGCGGATAGGGAACTTCTATATATTAATTCATCCAATTTCCTCACATTACTGCATGATACATTTTCCAAAACTAAGAAACCAACACTGATACACTGCTACTAATTAAACCTATTCTGATGTTACTATTTTGCTACATTAATGGTCCTTCTAATCCAAGACAACACAATGCGTTATTGGGTTATAGGTTTTTAGAAATATCACTGTGTGATTTCTGACATGTGTGATGGTTTCTTGAGTCAAGTGACCATTGTCCTGCTTCCATATGCTGTTTAGACAATGAATCACCAAGTTCTAGTCACAGTCGGAGAGGATATTAAGTTCCACTTACTGCAAGGGGTGGGGGTGCAGGAATTATCTACTTGCATTACTTCGGATTTTTTTTTTTTAAAGATTTATTTATTCGTACAGAACTGGGGTACAGGCCAGAGATGCGGAGGGGGAGAGGATTCACCAGAGACAGAGTGGGGAGCAGAACAGGCAGATCGATGAAGTACACTGCTGAGGGGAGCAGCGGGCGGTCAGGAGAGGTCTGCCACGCCATGTGGTCACCTCTGGGGCAGGCGGGGATCTAACTCATGCGAAAGTGGCTTTAGCTTCTCAGCATTGTACTTTAACCCGCTGCGCCACCAGGGAGGGCCCTACTTAGGATTTTTTAAGAGATTTGTATTCATTTATTAAAATCACTTAGATCAGCATGGAATCATTTTATACATTAGGTTATCATCACACTTCTCATTTTAAGATGAAGAAACACTCTAAAAGGTTGACTTGGCTAACACCATATAATAAACTTGTAGAAGTCCTGGTTGGCTGAACTCAGGTCTCCAGCCGTCCAGCCCCACCCTCTTCTACCAGAGAGCTGGGGGAAGAATGCAGTCTGATTCTTCAGACATGTTTTTCAGTCAAAAGAAATAAATTATGAATACATTGTACGTGATCATTGAAAACATTGAAGAATCTATAAACAGACCAGGTATTAGATCCCACTTACATGAAATATCCCAAATTGGCACGACTTTTAGGCTGGTGAAATGTTCTGATGACTGATGTATTCAGTCACTGATGTGCAGACTGTAGCAAACAGCATGGATGTGACTAGAGCTCATTAACACCTTCAGAGAGCAGGTCAGGAGTCTTAGCAATCTTAGCTGTGACTTTGGCCAAGTTATCTTCACACTGGTTACGGGGGCTCATCAGGTATAATGGTGAGCAAAGTATTTCACATTCGCACGTCTGGCATATCCAAGCCTCACAACATACCTCTGCCACAGGTTCTGTCACCGCTGCCTGCAACACAACTTACTCCGCCCACTACTTCTCACCTGGAGGACAGGACCCCAGTGAACCCCCTTGTCTTTCCTTAAGAACCTGCCACTCCCATGTATTATCCAGGCCCTCTCAAGGCCTGGCTTCGCCCTGTCCACGCACCAGTGGCCGTGCCCTCTCCTAGCTGCCCAGTGGCACTCACCATGAGGACCCTGTGCTAATCTTCTGCAGAACACCCAGTGCCATCTGGTGCCACCGCGTCCTTGGAACTGGATGCAAGCTTCCGGAAAGCAAAACTTTTATATCTTTCCATCAGATGAAAATAGGGCTTGGTGTGTATTTATGGGCCACTGAGTCTTGATGTACTTTATGTACTGATGTGGAACAACCTCGAAGATCTGCCAAGTGAGAATAAGCAAGATGCAGCCCGAGCACCCAGTTTTGCACAGAAGGTGTGTGTGTGGGGGGGAGCAAGTGTACACCCACACGTGTTTATATACAGCTCAAGCCTAGAAGGCTTCTCTTCTGCTCGGGGTACACTTGCTTCAACAGTTCCCCGTTCGCTGACTCGTAAGAATTAGTCCATTTTTGGAACCAATATGTCCACTTCCAAAACAAGGTCTCACTCAGGGCCCTGGTGTGCTTTAGTGGAGCAAATTTAACTGCTACCACAGCAGCATGGAGATGACCCTGCTGCAGCACTGCCATCTCACCCATCCCGAATTGCTCCGCCATCAGGTCACCCCAGCTTCCGAAGCAGAACATCCACCTACTAAAGGCCCTCTAGTTTCCCACTGTACCTGGTTATCACCAGTCGGCACCACACCCTGGCAAAACCAACCAGGACAACAGTCAAATCCCCTTGGGTAGCCCTACAGGAAGACCAGAGTCCAAGTGGTTTATAAGAAGGCAATTTATTTTAACAGAAAATAATTTGAGGAGTCCTGTTCACAGACGGCGACCACGGCGACCCCCCTTCCTACGGGTGCTATCGGAGGGGATGGGGGTGACATCCTCTGTGGGGAAGAAGAGAAAATGTCACTGTCTGGAGCTGGACGGGAAGGGGCCCAGTCCCCCGCTTCCTCAAAATCTACGTGGTCTAAACTCAACTCTTCCATAGAGGAAACTGAAGGTCCCCAAATACACACAATTTACACAGGCTGTCAGAGGTATTAGATAGCACCATGTTTTTGACTCCTGAGCCCACTACTCGTAGTAGCAATCTCCTGGACAGGGCTGCACCATGAGACTTAAGGAGCAGCACCTTTGTTACCAGAGTTGGCATGCCTTTCTAAAAGAGAAAAGGGGGCGAGGTGGTCTGGGGCCCCCAAGTGTCGGGGACTCGCTGTGATTCTCAATGATGGGATGTACCCCCTTCCCAACTCCAACTAATTTTCAGCTGTTGTGCCAGGAGTGCCCTATTGGGAGCGACAAGGAGCAAGGACACCGAAGGTCCTGTGGTACCAGAAACAGACAAAATGTCGCAAGTGACTCCCTTGAGCAACATGGCAAAGGACAATTTACCTTGGCCAGTCCCAAGTCTCCCACCTCAGTGGGAGGCAGAGATTCAAAAATGAAACTGCTGTCCAATACAGAAGGGAAGGACAACATTCACACCAAGGTGACAGGGTGGCCAGGGAGGGACTCTGTCTTTGGATGCTTCTTGCACCCCGTTGACAAACCTAATGGACAACGGCAAGCAACAAGCCTGTGTCCAGTGGGCAGATCCCATGCTTTCTGGGGTCAATGACTCAAGCCCTAGTGGAGGGCACTTACCAATTCGCCCAATTTTCATTCCCGAGCGGGCAAGGGCTCTGAGGGCTGACTGTGCCCCAGGTCCGGGAGTCTTAGTCCTAGGAAATCAATGTTGACAGTAAGAAACACCTTTGGCCAAGTCGAGGGGCCCTTTCTGTAACACATAACTCAGTTGTTCAGTGATCCGAAAGCCTTCTGTGAGGGGCCAGGCAGGATTTATTTGAGGCTTGGTAGGTCACAGTCCCAACATTTTAAAGTCAGTCATTTAAAGAAAGCAAAGTTATCCTCAGCCCGGAAAGCCAGGTCAGATTGGCCCTCAAGTTCTAGTTTGTAGCCTCTTCTGCCTGCACCTGGCTCTTCCTGCGAAATGCTCAGTTGTACTCTTGGTGACCTGCCCACCCCAGACCAAGACTCCTCTGGACCACCCAGACAACTTCCTGCCTGGTCTGGTCCCTAGTGGCAGTCATCTCTAAGACCCTCTAATCCCCTCAGGTCATTACCATTAAGATCTCATGCCTCCCCTCCCCCTTCGGCTAAAGCCCAAATCGTTCTCACATCCCTCCAGACCCAGCAGGACCTCACTCCTGGTGACCCCGATCACACTACAGGTCATTCTCTCCCACAAATGCGCCTTTTTCTGTGCAGTTGTCTCTGGCTGGAAGCCTGTCTTTCCTTCATGGCTCCCAGCCATGCTGGACAGGGTGCACAAAGCTTTATCACTAACTGCACCCCTGGCCCTGCACTTCTGGTCCCCAGCACTTGCTGCAACAGGAAATCACCTGCCCCCAACTCCATGTTTATGGACTCTTCTTCTAGTCTAGGTGCTACACAGGGAAGATGTCCCACCGCTCCCTTCACTTTTCCTCCGGAGGCACCACTGTGCACTCTATATGGTAAGTTGGGTGGGGAGGTGGGAACCAATTACATACGCAGCCAAGATGCCTTGTGCAAATTCACATCAGAAAAACCAGCCTCACGTACCGATTTCCTCCTGTGGCCCGGAGTTTGATGTGGAGGGCAGTGATGCCCAGTTCCTTGCACCTCTGGGCCACATCCTGGGCTGCCAACATGGCAGCATATGGCGAGGATTCATCTCGGTCAGCCTTCACCTTCATCCCACCGGTCACTCGGCAGATGGTTTCCCTGGAGACAAAAGCAGTCATTTCTCTTACTCAATGAGCATGCGTGTCAGCAGTTCTTGTTCCGAGACGCCCACCTGTGTCTACTACCCCTTTCTCAACCCCTTCCGAAATGGCAGCCCTTAGCTTCTAAGACCTGTATCTAACGGAGTGGCATCACTGCAAAGGGACACAGAGGAAGGTCACCTTGAGCACACATCCTCCTCCTGACAAGACCCACATCACTGCCTTTACGTGATCCAAATACCCAAGATAGCAACATTCATATTAACACTTTATCGGGACTTGGGAAATCACAGTATTTGTGTACAAAGAACTAGAAACATTTCATTTCTGAATGTCTTTATTTTGCTCAAGAAAATCACTTAACTGCCACCTACTTTAAGGGACAGTTCTTCCTCTAATCCCCCAGTATAGCTCCCCTCAGGCACTTACTTGCCAGAGAGATCAGTGACATGCACGAAAGTGTCATTGAAGGATGCAAAGATGTGGCAGACACCAAATACATTTTCTCCTTCAGCCACCTGAGGTCCGAGGCTGATGACCTGTTCTTCCTTCTTTTCCTTCCCCTTGCGAGGTGCCATTTCTGAAAGGAAGAATCCCAACTTAGACAGATTTCCAGGAACCTTTCCCCTGGCTATGAAAAGAAATTCCAAACCTTGCTTCTGTGCCACCACCTCTCCCAGAACCATGCTGTATTCTCATCTACGCCTCACCAAAACTCACTTCTATCTGAACTTAAGGGATTTTTGACTAGAGGCTAAAACGCAAACTACACTGAGCAGTCTTCCTGAACCCACCAAAGGCATAACTTGGAGCATCTATAGGTTCTAGCAGCAGACCAAAAGCAGTCCCCAAAGCTTTACAGTGGGCATCCAAAACCTGGAAAACACACTGGCTTTGGTTTCTGGAGAACTCTAGGAGTTCAGCTTACAGCACTATTCTAAGACAAATCAATTTTCTCTAGGCTTTTCTATTCCAAAAACGTGAGGAGAAAGATTTATAACTTGTTCAGGGTCACACAGCAAGTCAGTTGCTGAGCTGAGATCAGAAGAAGCACCTTCGAAAACCCTTATATACTTCCAACACCAGGAGAGCTTCTGGGTTTCCTGGCTCCCCTACCACGTACAGGTTAGGTAGGCTCAAAAGACCACATCCCTAAAGGCTAGCGGCAAGGCCAAGACCCCTAAAAACACTCATGTACTGGGGAGAGCTACCCCATTTTGGGGGTCTGAAAGGGAGGTAGACACCCACTGCCTACTAAATTCTGCACCAACTCACAGCTTACAATTTAAGTCCCCTTAACCAGACTACTCCAATGTAAATCTAAGTGCTACCTCCCATCTTTTGATAATTCACCTCTGCTCACCTGTAACAGTTTACAGGCACTAAAATGTGTCTTCTCAAAAAATTAACGGGAATGACCCACTCTAGAAACTCACTGTAAAACCAAGTAACTAATTTGATACAGCACACAAGGTGGAAACACACTGGCACCAGGCCTGGGCGAGGGGCAGTGACAGAGGTAGATGAGGATGAGTAGTTTCCTGCTCCATCTCATGACACCCGAGCTCAGGAATCATAACTTTACCGACATTACCAGAACACAAAGTAAAAAGAGCTCAGGTGAACGCAGGCAGCTGGAGGAGCAAAAAACAGAGCAGGGTCTCACCTAGGATCTTAGAGTCAGAGGCAAAGCCCAACTGCCCAGCAGCCTCTACTCCATAAACAACCACATCCCCGACTGACAACTGCAGGTGTGGCGGCTCCCCACTCCCCGGCGGTCACGTAAGGTGTGCTGCGCCGGTGATCGCAGTAAGGACCTCAAGTCAGGCCCGGTGTAGTTACCCACTCCCACCCTCACATCAGACAAGCGGGTAAGAACTGCTTGCAAGCTGCACCCTCTGCCTGGGTACGGCGGGTAAGGTTTCAGGTGGTCTAATATGTGAAGCACAAAATCCCCCACGGGGCGGCCACGTCCATATAAACCCGTGGCTTCCCGACCCCAGTGGGAGACTGATCGTCAGGGCCTGACAGCTGCCCCGCACGCCCAGAGATGGCCGCGTGCCCGCGTTAGCCACCATCCAGAGAAGGGCAGCCCCCACCCCAACAAACTCGATTCTCCTGTATGCCCTCTCTGGACCCCAACATGACCCCTGTTACTCCAATTTCCCAGTCGAGCAAACAAACCAGAGATGAGGCGCCAGGCCTACAAGGGTCCAAAAAGAAGCGGGTGGCATACAGGTGGGTCCAAGTGGGAACCCAGATCAGGCCCGGAGCCCCGCCGCTCGGCCGCACCTTGCAGCAGCGGCGACCCGACCATGGGTCAGGCAGTCAGGGCTGCCCCCCGCACTCACCCTCACTTCCCCAGTGCCTCCCGGAGTAAGACCGCCCGCCTTCCGACAAAGCGCGAGTTTGAGTTTGGGTCGACCGGCCACGCCCCTCTTGCCCAGTATCTGACTTGGCTTTTGCGAAAAGACCCCTATCCCACCACACTTGGACTCGCGTGCCTCTCTGGAGGCGGATGGCACCCGATTATACTTGCCCAGGCCTCCTACCTGCGCGTCTTCTCTAGACTCCGCCACCGGAAAGAGAGGGCGAAGTGGGCGGGACAACGGGTCACGTCCACGTCCCCGGAAGTGTACGTCTGAGGTCACGGAACGAGGCCGTCTCCCAGAAGACGCCGTCTCTGGTGTTTCCCAGAAGATTAAAATTAGCCCTCGGGAGAATGGTTTACGTAAAAGGACAAGGAACTCATGTCGCTGCGGGCGGTTAGGCTTCTGAGACTGCACGACGCAACATCGACTGGGTAAGGCGGACCTGCATTCTAAGATGGCGGCGACCACAGCTAGACGAACTTCCGCCGTCTTGACCCGGGCGCTAGGGATCCTGGGGGGTCGGCAGCGCTCCTCTTGGCGTGGAGGAAAATAACAATAACAAAAGCGGGATAATCACAGACTTTCACCGACTATGTTTTTTATCTGGGCGAAAGAGGAATCTGTTATTCAGTATTTATTATATACCTAGCTGAGCTAACCTATACTTCATTTAGTCCTCACAACACGACCAGATAGTAAACTTTTGATTTCCCTTTCACAGATAAGGGATATTAACGGAGATCACATATTTGCGGCTAGTTGCAATTCTGACTTTAGTGACTGTGTTTAATCCTCATAGCAATATTGAGCGATATTGAATGATTAAGAGACTGTAAAGATGAATGTGGGGAACGGCAAGAGGTAGATGTATGTTATGTGTATAAGTGTGAGAGAGAGAGAGAGAGAGAGAGAGAGACCTACTTATACATGTAAAATGTATATAACCAGGCCCTCCCTGGTGGCGCAGCAGGTTAAAGCACAGCACTAAGAAGCTTAAGCCACTTCCGTGTGATTTCGATCCCCGCCTGCCCGGGAGGTGACCACATGGCGTGGCAGACCTCTGCTGACCCGCCCGCTGCTCCCCTCAGCAGTGTACTTCGTCGACCTACTTATACATGTAAAATGTATATAACCAGGCCCTCCCTGGTGGCGCAGCAGGTTAAAGCACAGCACTAAGAAGCTTAAGCCACTTCCGTATGATTTCGATCCCCGCCTGCCCGGGAGGTGGCCACGTGACGTGGCAGACCTCTCTTGACCCGCCTGCTGCTCCCCTCAGCAGTGTACTTCGTCGATCTGCCAGTTCTGCTCCCCACTCTGTCTCTGGTGAATCCTCTCACCCTCCGCATCTCTGGCCTGTACCCCAGCTCTGTACAAATAAATAAATAAATCTTTAAAAAAAAAATGTATATAACCAGCTGGGATGGGATTTATGTTTATGTATATGTGTAATTTTTAAACAAAATGGACAGTTATGCATAATGACTTGTTGTCCTTTATGTACTGGGATTAATATCACTGAACAACTTCAGTTCAATTTAGGGAAGAATTTCTTCTAAAAATGTAGTGCTCCCTGACTCCTGACTCCTTTAAAAAATAATTAATTACAGAAACCCATAAAATAGAAGCATGCAAAAAGGAAAACAAAAAATTAACAAGTCTTACTCACTGCTAGTGTATGTCCTTGCCCAACATCATCTGTGCATATGCACACAGGGTGCCATTTCTTTTTTCTTGAAAAGCAACATAACCTTACAGGATTTTTCTGTGATGGTTAAAAAAATTCACACTCCATCATAAACAATCCATACACTAGAAAACTATGTGGAAAAAGTAAAAGTCATTTCCAAATTCTAGAGATACCACTACTGAGTTAACTCAAACATTGTTCTAGAAACAACTTTCTTTACCTGCATCTATGCCCACATCTATATTCTATAATATTCAATCTTATGTAAATGAAATTGTATTCTGCGTGCCATATTGTGCACTTCTTCCCATAACAACAAATAAAAATTTACATTTCACTTATTATTGTGAATATTAAATGCATTCACAAAATGAAATTATAAACAGTGACCAAAAAGTATAGACAGTAAATTCAGGGCCTTCCTGGTAGTGCAGGGGTTAAAGTCTCAGTGCTGTTAAGCTATCACCAGCTACTATGGCCTGAGTGCCACAGGGAGGTGACACACATGACAGACCTCTCCTGTCTCACCAGCTGTTCCCCTCAGCATCAGATTTCAGTAGATCCACCTATTCTGCTCCTCACTCTGTCTCCAGTGAATCCTCTCTATTCCTGCACCTCTGGCCTATATCCTAGTTCTTATATGCATAAATAAATAAAAATATGTTTTAAAAAAGAAAAGAGGGCCCTTCCTAGTGGTGCAGTGGGTTAACATGCTACACTGTGAAGCTAAGCCAAACTGTGACCACTTCAGTGTGAGTTCCATTCCCACCCTGCGATCCACATGACAAAGAAGACCTCTCCTTTCTCACTCGCTACTCCCCTCAGCAGTGTACTTTGTTGATCTGTGTGGTCTGTTCCCCACTCTGTTTCTATTGAATCCTCTTGCTGCCTCTACACCTCTCGCCATACCCCATTTCTGTATGCATAAATAAATAAAATATTTAAAAAAAGAAAAAGAAAAGAAAAATCAAAATCCTCTTCCTCTTACCTCTATCTTCCGCCATTTCTCTTCCTGGCAAGCAAGTGGAATACCTGTATTCCTCTTTTACAGTTTTTTTAAAAAAGATTCATTTTATTAATGCATACAGAACTGGGGTACAGGCCAGAGGTGCAGAGACAGAGTGGGGAGCAGAACAGGCCAGCTGATGAAGTACAGTGCTGAGGGGAGCAGCGGGCGGGTCAGGAGAGGTCTGCCACGCCATGTGGGTCACCTC